GCAGTGGTGTTGGGTAATTGGATGCATGATGGTGATGTATATGCAGTGGGTGTGAAATAATCCTTAAGGGTCCGGTTAGGCACATTCGGGACATTAGGATCTGCCATCTCTAATGGCTCAATTTATGAATATGAATATTCAAGCCTAGGAACGCGGGCAGAGGCCCTAAGTCTCCTAAAGGTCCTTTCTAGTTCAAGGTCCAAACACCACAATTCAGGGCAAGAACGACGCCCGTGCATACACTACCCACACACACACAAAAAGTTCGACTCTGTGCACTAAGTTACGAAAGCAAAATGCTAAAGGAGAAATACTCACAGCAGTTCAACGAAAACGCTTTACTCGTCTTGCAGATGCTTGATGTGTAGACGTTGTCTCCAACTTCTGTTTGAGCTTTGACTTTCATTTTAGCACTTTGGTGCTTTGCTTGTGAGTGTTTGCTTCTGTTTACTCACTTTAGTGCTGCGGTTTTTTTTTTTTTTAGCTCGGCTGCGCTCCGCTTGCACTTCGGTGATAGCTCCAATTTCAAACGCTCTGCACACTTAGCGACACAAAAGCATAAAATCCTAAACTAAAAATTAAAATAAGAATGTAACTTTAAATTAACTAATTTTGCTAGAAGTCCCTAACAACGGCGCCAAAATTTGATAGGTCGTTGAACACACCAAAATTAAATACTAAACTGCACCAAATTCTTTTAGAATAATGGCAAGTCCAGGTATCGATCCACATGGACAATTGTGAAATTAATCTAATTCAATTGTTAAATTCCTAAATTAATTTTGATAAAAAGATTGATCGTTCATAACCTAATTTAATAAAAAATAAAATAAAATAAGGAATTAAATTATCAACTATAACTGACAGTGGATTTACTGAATTGGGGGAAAAACTAGGGCAAAGAGTCCACCACTAGCCACGTAATTAGGGTTTTCAATTGAAATCAATTATGTTATGGTTTGAACGGATTAATGCTTCGCAACTACAAGCTCAAAGCATTTAACAAGAAGATCATCACGTTCAATGTACGAGCACGAACCATCTCAAGTAATACGAATCGTTCACTCTAAACTAGGATAGTGATCCGACTCGTTCCTCGTAACATGGTTCGTCTCATATCTTGAATGTGAAGGAATAGAAAACTCATGTATGGATAATATTCAACAATCACAGAAAGTCAAATATTCGAAGAAATAATGAAAAATATATAAAAGAAACTTCTAAATCACCATACAAATGTTCAAACCTTTACATAATTAAAAATCAAAAAGAAAACTAAATAATTACATGGCTAGGGTTTCATCAAAACTCTAGAAAATGTGATTACCCACTCATGGAGGAGTGGAAGGAGGTAGATAGAGAAGGAACCACCATGGAAGACATCCTTGAAACTTTTAGTTTTCTCTTCCCTTCCAAACCCTAGCCTCTCTCTTTAGGTCAAAACAAGTTCAAAACCCTAATCCAGCCTTTTCCTTGCCTTTTTATATTTTTGATCCCTTCCAAACAGGTTTAAAACGTCGGGTTGACTTTCCCAGAAAAAGTCAACGTACGTGCGGGAAAGTCAACGCACGTGCGGGAAAGTCAACGCTCTCAAAATTCTGTCTTTTTGTCCATTTTATGCTCTGACTATGTACAACCTGATTGACATTCAACACACATAAAGTATACAGTTTGACCAGCAAGTGAAGTTAAACAATTCTAATTAACGGCCTCAATGATGTACATTTCGGCCTTAATCAGATATGTTCGACAAATCTTATAATATGAGCGATTCGAATTATTAAAATAGTCTCGAGACATCACAAGGGTTCACAAGAAAATGTTAGAGATCCACAATTAAGATCTCTAAATTTATTTACAATGATGTGGCAAACGTATTGGACCCTACATAGTTAATCTATATAATAAGGCAAGAGAGATTTTGAAAATGTCTTAAAATGTATGTGAGATACATTTGGTTTTAAGGGCCAAGATGAATCCTGAGTTTAGATCAACGGCCAAGATGAATCAGAGATACATTTCTCACCCGTTTGAGTTCATCTCTCCCTCTCTCCCATGTTCTCTTCAGCTCCCTCTCTCCCACGTTGTCTGTCATAGTGTCTCTCATCACCACAGCCATTGAAGACCCTTCGAACCCTTCGATACCCACCCTCCTTCTTCGATACCCAACCCTTCGATACCCACCCTCCCTCTTCGTTACGCTACTCCTCCTTCCCTTACAACCCTTCTCTTCGACCTGACCAAGGCTGTCACCGACCGAGCCTCCCTCCATCCAACGATCGAGTCGAGTCTCTCTCTCCGACGATCGAGTCTCTCGCTTGACTCGCTTCTCGCCTCTTAGTCCCGCCGGACTCTCTTCTATCGACGGATCTGTCCACCGACTCTAACCTACAGGTATATAACTACAAATTGAAATCTGCTGTTGTTGTAGAATTAGTTTTTTTTTTTAGGATTTTTTTAAGGGGGCAAAAAAAAGAAAAGTTAAATCTGTTGTTGTTGTTGTAGAATTTGGGATTTTTTTTTTAGGGTTTTTTTGTAAGGGAAAAAAAAAAGAAAATTGAAATGTGTTGTTGTTGTAGAGTTTTGTTCAAATTTTTTTATTTTGTGACTTATTGCTCCTCTGCTGGATACTATCGTTCTATCCATTAATCCTTATAAATTTTACTGCGTATTTTTCATGGGTTCTTTTGTGCTTTTATGTATATCAGCATATGTTTGTCAATTGAATGGGTGGGCTTTTATGTATATCAGCATGTGTTTGTCATATGTTTTTCATGGGTTCTTTTTTGCTTTTATGTATATCAGCTTTTATGCTTGAATGAAATTTTATTCAATCAATCCCCCCCTTGCCTTTGAATTCGCATCATGCCTTGAAATTTTATTTTAGCTTATTTTTCATGGGTTCTTTTGTGCTTTTATGTATATCAGCATATGTTTGTCAATTGAATGAGTGGGCTGAAATGTTGAAGTTAATTCTGGTTTAGTGATTGAAATTGGACTGTTTACCTGTGAAATTTCATTCAAATTGCAATCTTCTCACCCTTTCAAACTTTTTTTGGAACAGTGATCTACGAAAAAAAAAAACCAGAAGTTTACATTGCATATCTACCCCATCAAACTAAAAATCTAGCATTTTTTTTGGCTTATTGGTTTTGGACATTGAGGGGCACAACTAAAGCGTTCTTTTCATTCTGTTTAGGTAAGTATGCTTGGAGTTCAATTTTTTTTTCTTTGTTCTTTGTGCATCATAAGTAATTGTAAATTGTAAAATATTTAGCTGATTTCACTTTTGATTTTGAGATAAGAATAGTTTTTGTTGGGTTTTCATGTGTTTATTGATGTGTTGCATTTATGTTAATGTGTTTGTTCTGGAATTGAATTTGTGAACTTTCTTCTCCCTCTGCATTGTAAATGTATGATGAAATGCTTGAATGAAATTTTATTTTAATAGTAAGTTACATCAATCCCCCCCTTGCCTTGAATTCACATCATGTCTTCATTTACCAGAAGTTTACATTGCATATATAATTCAAGAGGTGAATCTACCCCATCAAACTAAAAATCTAGCATTTTTTTTTGGCTTATTGGTTTTGGACATTGAGGGGCACAACTAAAGCGTTCTTTTCATTCTGTTTAGGTAAGTATGCTTGGAGTTCAATTTTTTTTTCTTTGTTCTTTGTTCTTTGTGCATCATAAGTAATTGTAAATTGTAAAATATTTAGCTTATTTCACTTTTGATTTTGAGATAAGAATACTTTTTGTTGGCTTTTCATGTGTTTATTGATGTGTTGCATTTATGTTTATGTGTTTGTTTTGGAATTGAATTTGTGAACTTTCTTCTCCCTCTGCATTGTAAATGTATGATGAAATGCTTAATGAAATTTTATTTTAACAATAAGTTACATCAATCCTCCCCTTGCCTTGAATTCGCATCATGTCTTCATTTGATGGATTTATGGAAAGCCCACCTCTTTTCAAAGTATTAGTAAATATGTCAACCAAACAACAGATATATGCATGTCTTCAATTTGTGTTTATTTGATTGCATGAAACTTCTCTTGAATCGATAGCCTCACTTTACTTTTTAATTTCTCTCTCTCTCTCTCTCTCTCTCTCTCTCACTGTTGGTTGATTTTAGGTTTTTATATCTGGATTGATGGATCATACTATTTTATTTTATTTTTGTTTGTGTTTAAGGCTTCAAGGTCGTTTCTTTGTTTCCGGAGTGGTATACTTCAACTGCAAAATTGAGTTGATTTTAGGTTTTTATATCTAGATTGATGGATCATACTATTTTCTTTTATTTTTGTTTGTGTTTAATTTCCTTATATTGGGATTGAAGAGTTTCTTTGTACATTGATGATTTGATTATTGGAATTGTTGGGCTTCAAGGTCGTTTCTTTGTTTCCGGAGTGGTATACTTCAACTGCAAAATTGAGAAAGGACAATCACTAATTGTTAGTTGTTATTTTGTGGTGAGGTAGAAATCTATATAATAAGGAAAGAAAGTTTTTGAAAATATGTAAAATCTGTGTGAGATACATTTTAATTTAATGGTTGAGATTAATCTCAAATTTATATCAACGGTTCAGATCAGTAGAGCTCCAGCCCAAACAACTCTTTGCTCTCTCTCCCACGTCCAACTAAACACATCTGCTCTACACATTCTCTCTCATCCTCCTCATCCCAAAAGCCTCTAATGCCTTACCTCTCCCTCTATGCCTGGCTTACTACCTCCTCCATCGTTAGCGCGATCAAATCCAATCCTCCACCCCTCTCCACGTCGTCACTCTCTCCGAACTCGCTGCCATCGTCTCCCTCATTGCTTCCTTCATCTTCCTCCTCGGTTTCGTCCAATCCTTCATCACCCGTGCTTCTCACGACGCCTGAGATGTCGACTACGACCGCTTCATCCTCAAAGAAGATCGCTGCCTCCTTTCTTGTTCCTCCTCCGCCTTCGCCGTTCTTCATTGCACCGTCCCCCTTCTGTGCCCAAACTGATGGATCTGCCGCATGTGAATCGTCAAATCGGTGTGATTTGGGTTTGATTGGTGTGATTTGGGTTTGATATTTTTTTTCCTTCTCTCTCTGTTCTTCTCCTTCATTTCATGAATACATACATTTTTTGGGTTTTTTCCTATTTGGTTACAGTATGATTTCACACCCATGTTTCAGACCACTTCTAATTAAAGGATAATTTGAGTTTTAATTTCGGACTTTGCAGGGGATAGATTTGCATGGCTATGTGACAACGAGTTTTCACACCAGGCGTTGGCAGGGGTTAACCCAGTAAACATTGAACTCTTTGGTGATAATGCTTCAGCAGTTGTGCCAGTAGACAACTTGACAAATTTTCCCCCTGTTAATACTCCAGTGGCAGCACCTGTTGGGCATGTATCCATGTCCCCCCTTGGGGTTGGTGCTCCAGTAGCTATAACAGCAAACAAATCGACAACATTTTCATCGGGATTGCCATCAAACGGTGCAAATTCATTTGTCAAAGTTGCTGATGGAGGGCAGTGGCCCAACATGCTTCCTCATCAACCTTCTTTATTTCCTGCTACTGGTAGTCAGCCTACTGCTCAGCCATTCACTCCACCAGTTAGTGGATCTTCAAACAATCAGGTGTGCTTCATGGCTTATCTTAAATTTTACCTAATACACTATGCTATTTTTGCAGCCATGGAATTTGTCTATTGCCTCAAATCCACAAGGTCCTTCAAGTATACCATCTGCACAAATATCGTAGGCTTTTTCAAAACCTGCCCCAGACGTCACTTCACAATCCTCTTCCATGGAAGCTAAACCAAGTGGGAGAACAGAACTTCCAGAGGTGATGATGGAGTTACATATTTGCTCAATCCTCTTACTTTTTGTGTTCCTTTTGGTTTTGTTCATGGTTTTCCACATCTTACAATTTATTGTTCTTTTTTGATAAGTATCTTACAATGAATTATATTTTATATGCAGAATCTATTCGCTGCAACTTATCCATCTTCTGTACCAGTTCCGGGCAGGCAAACTGGTCCACCCCAGGGATATGGATTCAATATGCAATATAACAATACTGCAATGGTATCTAGCACACCCCAACATAATTATGTTGATTACTTGCTGCTGTCTCTTATTTTTAATTATGTCGTCAAATTACCAATTTGTTATTGTGCTCTATTTTTACAGCCCATGCCAACTTTTCCGCATTCATCGAAATCAACTAATCCATTTGATCTCAACAATGAATTGTCTCCGGTTCAAGCTCCAATGGTAATGCCTAGCCACTTGATTCAAACTAATTTTCTCCCCAACCGCTTCAGACTCTTTAGTGTCATCTTGAAGTGTTGACAAAACATATATACTATATATATATATATATTTTTAAAAGAAGGAAATCTGCAATGTTTGCTTACATGGTTTTGTGTGCATGCTGCTCACAGTTATGGTCATTTCAGAAAAGTAGAATAGAAAAGTTGACAGGAAATGATTTATTGACAGGAAGATTGATTTTTGAGTGTGATTGATTAAATAGGGCACTGATTAAAATTTATCTATGATTGAAGCACCTGCAGATAAGATATCTGATTAGATTGTTATTCAACCTTCCCTTTTTGGTTTGCTTAATCAGTTACATAATAGTATGTCATTGTCAGTTAAATTTGAATCTTGCGCATTGATTGATTTCTATTTTAAAGAATTTTAGCAGTCACATCGCAAAATTTATTTTTTCAAAAGAAGGATTTAATCTGATGTATTCTGTGTTTCCTGTTATGTAGTTTCCTTCCATGGCATCAAATGTGGTAGCTCCAGCAGGCTTATTGAGCACTTCCAGCCTCGGTACCCCTTCGACATCATGGATGTTGTCTTAGTCATCTTATCCATCAGCAATGCCTGCCCAGGCACCATCTTTTACATATGCAGTTCCTCCAAGTAATATAGCATCTCCTTTTTTTTTGTACCACCCTGGGATTCTGTTTGTTCTTTGCAGGTGGTGATATGTTTGTAATGATGTCTCAGGTGCATACATGGGGCAACAGATGCCCTATTTAAATAGACATATGTCCAGGCGTTGGCAGGGGTCAACCCAACATGAATTTTTTGTTTCTCGATTGTCCATTGAGAGTCCTTAAGCTTGAGTTTATTTTGCAGGAGTTTCCGATTCTCAGCAAACTAGATCCTGCAGTTTATGGTTCACCGGAACAGGAATAAGAGGTACTAATATGATACTTCACTAGCTTTATGAATAAGAGCATTTACACTTCGGTTGGGAACCCAGAGAGAAAAGAAAAGAAAAGAAAAGAAAATATTACTTAGGAAGTTAGGAGAGAAAAGAAAAGAGAAAAGATTGTGTTTGCTACCTTTTGTTTGGACCAATAGGAGAAAAAAGAGAAATGAAGAGAAAAGAGAATGATTTATCTCCATTCTTGGGTTTGATTGGTGCATTTGGGTTTGATATTTTTTTTCCCTTCTCTCTGTTCTTCTTCATTTCATTAATACATACATTCATGAATACATTGATATATTTTTAGTTTCATCATCTGGGTTTAAAATTGGGTTCATTGGGGATTACAATCTGTGTAATTTGGGGTATATTTTTATTTCCTGTTTTTATTATAATTTGGGGTTTGCAAACGCGTGTGTATTATGAAAACTCAACATGATATGTATACACGTGTGTATTATGATTTATATGTATAATGGTATAGTAAAGTTTGTCTTAATTTTATAGCCTACTGGAATATGTGCTTGAGTTTATGTATAAGCTGGGTTTCTACTCATTAGTTTATCACCGCATTGTGCTTATGGAAATTTTCAATTATGTTTGTGTCTCATTAGCACATGTCTAATGTATATGAAGTTTTATAGGACTACAATTTTTTGAATATTTGTCACATAATTTTGATTTTTAAAAATGCCTTTAGAATTGCTAACTGAATGAATAAACATGTCACATTCAGTTAATAACTGCTAATCAGTTTTCAAAACCAACTCATGTTTCTCATTCAGCAAACAACCCAAAAAATTAGACATAGAATTGCAAACGCAGATGAGGATAAAAACTGTATTGGACATAGAATTGCAAACGCAAACAACCCACCATTCTGACCAATACTCTCTCTTTGATCTCTCTCTCTAGCTTTCTGTCTCTTTTTGGTATTTTTCATTATTTTTGACCTCAATTACTATCTCTTCGTATCTAATTTCAGATCTCTTTGACCTCTATTGTGTTTGATTCTTCTCATTTTTAGGGTTTTGGGATGAAATTGATTCTAATTTCTATTATTTTTATTTTTTATTTTTGTTTAAATTTTATGTTGTATTCATATATTGGAAATGACTTAATAAGATATGGGTAGCGATTGCTACAGATAGAACTGTTTTATCAAATCGATTGAGTATGCTTTTGTTGAATAGTGGTTTGTTGGTGTTTAGCTATTTAAGGTGTTTTCGATCCATCTTAGTAAGCAATCTAGGTTTTTTCAGGATGTGGGCTGATTTTTGAATTCGGCCTCTTAGGCAAGTGGTTGTTTTAGATAAAAATGTATTACTCTGATCCATAGAGAGATTATAGTGAACATTGATGGATGCTAGAGGGAAATCACTACAGAGGAGCTTAATCTTTCCCTCTAAATATTTTGAGAAATTTAATTGACAATGACATACTATTAGATATCAAATCGATTGAGTATGCTTTGTTGAATAGTGGTTTGTTGGTGTTTAGCTATTTAAGGTGTTTTCGATCCATCTTAGTAAGCAATCTAGGTTTTTTCAGGATGTGGGCTGATTTTTGAATTCGGCCTCTTAGGCAAGTAGTTGTTTTAGATAAAAATGTATTACTCTGATCCATAGAGAGATTATAATGAACATTGATGGATGCTAGAGGGAAATCACTACAGAGGAGCTTAATCTTTCCCTCTAAATATTTTGAGAAAGAAATTCGATTTTATTTGATACTTATTATTTTCTTTCTTTCTCTTTTTTGATATCAATTAGCAAATTTATTAAGAGTCAAGATTTCTTTAATTCTCACCCACCCGCCTTCTTTTCCCCCATCTTTTTGTTCACTTATGCAATCTCTCTCTTTCTCTCTTGCCCACATTCCTTTCGCTTTCCTTTTATTTTTTTTATTTTTATTTTCCTGCCTATCTTTTTCCCCCATCTTTTTTTTCTCCTTTTTACTCACTTATTTACTTTCGGTGCATTGTTTGGTTTCTGAGAATTTAAAGAAAAAAAATGGAAAAACATGTAAGGAAAATAAAATTGTATTTTTAACATATTGTTAGAACACCATTGGTTACCAAGATGAGTTCAATTTGTTAGAATTGAATAGGGAAGTATCATAGGAAGATTGATTTCAAGTCACATAGGCCCATATATAGTTCTTAGACATTCTTGCCCCCAAAGCTTTTTCATGATGTTTAGATACTAATTTGGTAATCATGATGTTTTCGCAGTGACAATTACCCTTTTTCATTATTTTTGACCTCGATTACTATCTCTTTGCATCTAATTTCGGGTCTCTCTGACCTCTGCTGTCTTGGATTCTTCTCATTTTTTGGGTTTTGGGATGAAATCAATTCTAATTGCTATGAAATCGATTCTAATTGCTATGCTATGCAAAAAATAATTTCTACTATTTTTATTTACATAGATCCTGAGGTCCAAGGGGTCTTAACTGCTGCCCAGAAGCACTGGCCTCACATCCATATATTTGATTCACTGGTTATGGCAGATTCGGCTGTCAAGATGGTAAAAGCTGGTTGCCAATATATCACAGTTCTAGGAGTTGATTTTATGTCAGAAAATGTGCGGGCAATCCTTGATCAAGCTGGCTTCTTAGAGGTAGTCTTTTCCTCTTCTTTTCGTGTATTCTTATTTCATCACTTTGTCAGTTACAAATCCAATTCTAAAAGTTAACAGAGTAAAAAGTGCTACTTGGTCAACAAATATTTTAATTGAAGCATAGATTTCATATTTCAAGAACTAATAAATTAACATAATTAAAACATGAAAATCAAAATCCCATAAAATGCATGCCTTGAAAACTATTAATGTGAGGTAATTAGTTTTCTATCTCTATGTATATATAATGACTATTTTAATATAATACCTTTGTTCATGTAATAAGGGTAAAATTGTTTTTTTAAGACTTTACATTTTTCAGGAATGTTCTGTCACTTGGTTTGTTGCACGAGGAGCAAATTATTTTTATATTCCCATCTAATGCAATATGTAAGTACCAAATTGGAGAAAGTATATGTAGATCTTTTGAATTACTTGATATTAATATTATCATGGTTTTCATACTTCTATGGGCCAAAATTTTCGTTGTACTACTAACAATCATCAATATATTTTCATACATTGACCAATTCTTCAAGATATTAAATCACTGTGGTGTGCACACTACATTGAATTGAAACACATGTGATGTTGGCACTTTGGAAAATAGTTCCTGGCAAGTTTTGGGTAGATCACTGTGGTTTGCACACTACTTTCTGATTTTTATTTTCTTTTTAGTTAAAATGTTTTTGAAATGATATTTACCATTTAAAGGTGAGTTTCAATTGGACACCACTTGGAACTTTTGAATTTCCTTAGATTGATGTGTTAATACTTATTGCTTCCAAGGAAAGGAATAGCCGAATGTTTTGTCTATTGACCCAAATGTGATATGGGCTCTGTTTTGTCTACAGGCTGAAGCAAAATTTGGCTATCTTTTGGAGGCTTTAGACATGGGTGCTCCTCCACATG